CGAAACTTACTTCACTGTTCCCATCACTCCCTGGTAAATTCATAGATGCACCTCCCCCCACCCATGCAATCCATTTCATTGTCCCCCCCACCCCACCCCTTCAATCAAGTCGAATGTTTCCCCCACCCCTGCAATCCATTTCAATCCACTCCCCCCCCACCCCCACCCCTCTCTACCACACAATTAAGCCTGGACAATTATTGTACACCCCAATCCTGCCCCACCCCTCTCTACCACACAATTAAGCCTGGACAATTATTGTACACCCCAATCCCTGCCACCACTACTCAATTTTGTCCCACCCCATAAGTAATTGCCATATTTTCATAGCATAACATTCTACTTTAGAAAACACAACATTCTAATGTTTCAACACTTCAGTTATTTTATTTGGTAAAGTTTCCATTGAAATATAACATAAAACATTGAACAAGATCTCAGTGTACTTAAAACAGTAAGATGTTGTCCCAGACCTGTTTCACACATCAAATATCAGTCTCCTTATGGGTTTGTACAGGATGTGGTATAATATACATGTGTAATATTTAAGTCATGGTGTACCATGTAAACAGTTTCCTGCATAACACAATCCCTTAATACTCGCCATAGCTTAAAAAATGTATAAATTTTCTCTTTGGTGTCAATAAATCTGTTAAAATAAAGATTGTTAGTTCGTTTAACGGAAAAAAATTATGAGAAAATTTGTAGGAAAATGATGAATGTTTTGAATCTTCAAAGGGTTTTTGATTTCCATTTAGACAGTGGAAAGGTCAAGGTAATTACTTATTGTACCTGGAAGGTCAAGGTTATACATTGATGGGGAAACAATTGTGCTTTATAAACCACAGACTTGTCATGGTCAATCATTCACCATTACTTATTACAAGGGTTTTATGTGGAGTTGATGTTCAAGCTGGCTCTCATTCTTTTGAAGTGTTACCATAGTGAGTGGATGATAGGGGTCAAGGAGGGTGCCCGAAGCCCCCTTGGGGGTGTAGGAGACTTGATGTTAACTTGATGAGACTTGAGGCTACAACTTTGATGTCCATTTTCTCACATTCTTATAATTAAATCTCATGCTATTATTCATTTTTTTTGTTTTTTCCCCACTTCAAAGAATTTCTTTATAAGCCTCACAAAAATCACATTTGCTAGATTTATTCTGGACAAGACACTTAAGCAACACAGAATATCACTGCTTGTTATAGATTTTGCAATATTCTTTCAAAATTTTATCAGTTTGAGAGAAAAAATTAATTTATGTCTTTTCAATTAAAAAAAAAAAACAAAAAAACCCTACAATTCGATAATTCATACCTACCCTTAGTTCTATCAATTTTGTTATGATTGCAATCTTAGAAGTGAATTGAAATGTATATTACCAGGGTCAATTTCAATTAATGAAATAGAAACACATTATCACACAGTAGATCTGATCTTAGATTAAAAAAATCAGGATGTGTGTCCTGGAGATATTTTTATTATACTCTGTGATGTGCACAGGTGTGATATGGACAGGTCTGATGTGAACAGGTGTGATGTCCTGTTTATTTACATGTTATGACTAATGGTCAACAAGTGCAGATGACCACATGTGACCACAAGCACTCCTTTGCCAAACAAAGTTATCAGTCTTTAGGGAGAAGTGATCATTGTCACCAATAACTGTATGACTAATATAATGACCGACAGTGACAGTGATGACCAATAGTGACCAGTGATGATGGTATTGGTATTGATTTGAGGCCCTACCTGGTGTTTATAATAAAACCCTGCCGAACACACAAGTATGAAGGCAACACACAGATATGTAGGCTACACCCATGTACACTGACAACACACAGGTATATAGTCAACACACAGGTACGTAGGCTACTCACAGGCACATTGGCTACACACAGGTACATAGGCTACACACAGGTATGTAGACTATACACAGGTACACAGACAACACACAGGTATGTAGGCTACACACAGGTGTGAAGGTTACCCACAGGTACACTGACAACACACAGGTATGTAGATTACACACAGGTACACTGACAACACAGGTATGTAGGCTACACACAGGCATACTGACAAAACACAGGTATGTAGGTTACACACAGGTACACTGACAACACACAGGTATGTAGGTTACACACAGGTACATTGACAACACACAGGTATGTAGGCTACACACAGGTACACTGACAACACACAGGTATGTAGGCTACACACAGGTACACTGACAGCACACAGGTATGTAGGCTACACACAGGTACACTGACAACACACAGGTAGGTAGGTTACACACAGGTACATTGACAATATAGGTAATGTTGCATAAAGAAAATTTCCTATATCAAATAAAAGCAGGAGAACAAATTTTTGTGTAATTAAGGATGTTGTTTTATCTGTGAGGCTGACTTTATAATACTGAGGTCTCAAATGGGTCAAAAATGCCAGACTTAACACAAGTTTATTGAAGAACCAAACATACTGATATGTTTTCTCAAAAAAAAAACACACCAAACAAACAAAAATAAACACAGAAAATGTATCAATACACTTTACAAAAATGTCACTTTCACATTGTATGTAAACATAAGCCAGGAAACTGATGAGGAAGTGTTTTGTAAATCATCAACATTCGTGTGATGTAGAAACAAGCCCCCAAACCAAAAGGTTGTCTCTTTCATCACCAGCTGATTGTTAAAGAATAGAGACACTTTATCATAAATCCTGATACTTACAAGTCTAGCAGTTGAAAGTCCGCTGGCATAATTGGCACATGTTTTGTTTCAAGTGAACATTTGGGCCTTATCTGATAAGGAAATTTCTTGTAACATACCAGGGAATTATGCAATTGAAAGCCTGTAAGGAATTTCCATTGAGAGAAAATAAAGAAAAAAACATGGTCAAACTATTTAATGGGCAGGAAATGTACATGTGTGCATGTGTTTTAGAATGCATTACACCCAGGCCCACTGCAGCTCATAGACACAAAGTATTGTACATTTATAAAGACATTTGCAGTGAGTTTGGAATTTTTTTTATAGTTAAATATCTATTTGTCTTTTTCCTTTCTGTCATTTTTGGATTTACGAATGCTCAAATTTCATGTTTATCTGTACAATTAAAATTCCAAGTGTGTATCAAGATGGCCGTTACATCTATATAATTACTAACAATAATAATGACCTTAGCCATCACTGACCTTGACCTCTGCCCTGTTACTACTGTAGCAGTCAGCATTCCACCCATCCTTTGATACTAAGGAGGACTGACAGCTGTTAGTGGGTGGGTGTATATGAGAGACAGAATTCTGGACTGAGTTAGGATTCTTAAGTAATGGTCAGGGATACGGCCAGAACAGGTGTCCTTAGTTAATGGTCAAGGTTAATATTCACAACAAGAGAAATTATTAGGAAGGGTCCAGGTACTGGTCAAAACATCTAAACATATATTACAAGTATATATACTAGAGTGGTCAGCGAAAATGCTAAATGGTCAGAATTTCAAAGTAGTGGTTAAAGTCAAACAGGTTGGGGGGAGGGGGGGAATTAAAAATTCTTATAAAATGTACCAGTTTGACTGGTTTTCTTAAGACTACATGGATGGACAGTTAACAGTATGTAGTGGACCTATAGAAACTAGCAATTTGTATAAACACTTCTCTCTCTCCTCTGTAGCTTTCATGGATTCTATGATAACTAGTTTGATTGTAGACAAAATATGTGTAAAATGCAATTTATAAGGAGGCTATCTGGACAAGTTTCCACCCATTTGTCTGAAGGACCACAAATCGTGGGTAAATTGGCACCACATAGTGACTGATGGAGATAGTTAGAGGAGGTGAAGTTGAGGTGAACTGATGCTAGGACACACAGATTTATGTAGTAGCAGAGATAAGGCAAATATTAATGGTGTACAAAGATGTTCAGGAGACATGGGTTATGTTACAAATGGTCTGAAGGGCATTAATATCACTCTGGGTATCAGACCTGACAGGAGTTTATATACTGAATGAAATGTTTGTTAGTCTCTGCTGCTATTTATTATGAAATTTACACACAACATACACAAACCTACATATAAAAACTTCAGGTTATATGTGTAGTAGTTAATGTTATATAATTTACATGGAATTCAAGCATTTCTATTAGAAAACAGGAAGAATGAGTTTAATTTGGTAACATACATAGATATTGAATCTACTTGATGAAAGCAGCCATTGGAACACATGGAGACAGGGGGTTATTGGAACACATGTAGACAGGAACACATGTAGACAGGGGGTTATTGGAACACATGTAGACAGGGGGTTATTGGAACACATGTAGACAGGGGGTTATTGGAACACATGTAGACAGGGGGTTATTGGAACACATGTAGACAGGGGGTTATTGGAACACATGTAGACAGGGGGTTATTGGAACACATGTAGACAGGGGGTTATTGGAACACATGTAGACAGGGGGTTATTGGAACACATGTAGACAGAGGGTTATTGGAACACATGTAGACAGGGGGTTATTGGAACACATGTAGACAGGGGGTTATTGGAACACATGTAGACAGAGGGTTATTGGAACACATGTAGACAGGGGGTTATTGGAACACATGTAGACAGGGGGTTATTGGAACACATGTAGACAGGGGGTTATTGGAACACATGTAGACAGGGGGTTATTGGAACACATGTAGACAGGGGGTTATTGGAACACATGTAGACAGAGGGTTATTGGAACACATGTAGACAGAGGGTTATTGGAACACATGTAGACAGGGGGTTATTGGAACACATGTAGACAGGGGTTACATAAAACAATAAAAACTATGTACCAAATATACATTTACATGTACAGACAGCAAGCATGTATCTACAAAATAAACAAATAAAGGAAAAAATTAATGTAATATATAGAAAAAGGGTGATAACTTTGGTCAATTATTGTAAGTACATGTAGTAAGTTACTAGCTGATTTTCGTAACATTTTTCGAATTTGTCTTTTCAGATGTGCAGACGATTCGTATGGTTCCCACAAAACGAGGTCTGCACGACAGGTGGGTGTGTACAGTCGTTCTAAATCAACGACGCTCCTCACCGAGAACAACAACTATAAGCAACAGATCCAGAAGCCGCCTCGGAGACATCTCAACAATCAGGGCTGGAAGAGCGAAAATGCAATCAACATCCCTCCTCTTGACCTTGATAACAACGTAACTGAATCCGAATTTGTCACTGCAGAAAGCGCTGTAACTCCAACTATTAACTCAAGACCTCTTGGTAATTCCCAGAGTTCTAGTACAATCATGGCACCACGCACGTTTATGACATCAGATCATTCCCGTCAGCCAGCTGTGTCTTCTGAAAAAGAAGATACAGAAAGTCCATCGGTCAAAGACCGTATTTTCCGTTTTGAAAAGACACCATCCAATAATTCTGGTGAAAATAAGGCTCGTAGATCAGCTTCTAGTGTAAACAATTTGAAAAAGTCTTTCGAAGATCGGACTAAACCATCAGAACTTGGCACAGATTCTCCTAGGCAAGGTAACCAGTATAGTTCAAAATACAGGAGCCGATATGATGGTAAACAGGAAGTGACAAACCAGGCCTCTAGGTCCTCTAGAGAACATCACAGCTCCGGTAGTGATAAGTCCGATTATTCAGTGCCGTTTTCTGTGGAAAAGAAACGTATGAACTGTCTTGGACAATATGGTTTGCAGGGTAATGGCTACTCTCATCAGAGTGACCAGCCACATCGGAAGGGAAGTGCTGAAAGGGGAGACGACTCTGTTGGTGCTCTGCAAAGGAACAGTGATAGTAGTGAAAATGTGCATAGACAGGATGTTAGTTCTTACAATCAAATTACACCTGATCGGGTCAGTTATAATAGGCCAGAACGACCTGACATTTCTCCTAACTCCAGACTCGAGTCTTCACCTCATCTGTCAGATAGGTATAATAATGAGTCTACACCTCCTAAAGTTCCTGAAAGGATTCCAATATCACACAGACCTGTTCCACAACCCGAGGCCCCATCACCCATCAATAGAGAAACGCAGTCTTATGGTCATCACAAAAGCAGTTCTTCATCTTCGGATTTAAGTGAAGGTCATAATACACCTCTCTCTGTCAACCATGGCCGGCAGCCATCACAGGAAGAACTTGAGTGTAATGAAAAAGTGCAGGAATTCGCACGGCAACTGAAAGACAAAGACAAAAAGTTGTCAGAGATGTTGAATCAGGATGATTTAGGACGAATGAAATTCATGTCAGGAATTGTTCCACCTGCAGAAACACCTCGGAAACACAGTTCAGGACATTCTCCACAAACATCAAAACTCTCCACTGGGTCCAATGAAGATTCTAAAGTTTCTACTCCCAATGGTATCCAAGACAACACTACTGATGAAAATTCCTATGGAAGACCAAAGTAAGTTTTACAAAGTTATGTTGCAGTCAATGTCATCACCATGGTAACCATAGATATAAATTCTATTTTGTATGCAAGATTTTGAAGTTGAAGATGAAGGTTTAAACAAGAAATTGAATTAAAAGTCTCCTTTTCTGCTCTAAGATTAGATATGATATTGCATGGGTAGGGAGATATATACCTAGAAATTCGTGAAGAGTTTTTCAAAACCATGTTTTTTTTCAAAACTCCAAAGGGAGAGCATATAGATGCCACTTTGTCTATCTGCTTGTTCGTACCTCCCTCATAATTGTACAGGAGTATATCACAAAATCTATAAGAAGTAGATAGATCTTGATAAGGAGATGTGCAGCATACAAGAAACATAACTCTTTTTTTGCCTAATTTAGGAGTTATTGCCCTTTATTATTTTTCATGTTTAGATTTTGTCAAAATTAGCCCTTTTGGAAGTAGCATTTATTATGGTAGCATCCATCAGTTCTACTAATTCTCTTGTTTTATTACTTTTCTGGGGAAGAAAGATTAGGAGGGAAGTTTTCTCCTATTTTTTTTGCAGTGTAAAATACTACATTGTTAAGATTTCTGAAAAATGGGGAAAAAACAATAGACTAGATAATGTCATGATAAAAGATAAGTTTATTTTCTAACAATAAAATATCAAAATAACCCCACTGAGATCCCCATTTATTTCAGACGGAAAATACATGTATAATATTTTACAGCTGTAGAGTAGAGATTAGGTACCCTCTGATGACCTTTTCAACCAAAAAGCTCCATAAACCCTTAATTATTACATATAAACAGATGTTGAGTAGGCCTGATAATAGATGTGCAGCTATTTCTGTCCAATCCGCAACATGTACACAAAATGACTTACCAATCACAGCAGTGGGCATGTATCACAGTATTAACACTTTAAGGAGCAAGCGGACTAAAGTTTGTAGTACTATCAGTGGGATACATGTTCCATGACTATGCATACTTCCCAGTTATAAGGCACTCAGTCACCTTGTCAGTTGTTCTCTCATTACATTTATATAGTAAAAAGCTAGGTTCTCTTTTGTTGAATACCAACAAAGTCTTTACACGGAACTGACCACATTTTTTCCCCAGTTGTTTAAGTGGAGGTCATTTAAGTGTTATTTTAGATAAAGTGAAATATCACATTGTGTTTCTATAGTTTTATTTGTTCATTTTTAGTTCTGAAATAAAGAAGAGATTTTTTTCTGATACAAAGAAAAGAATTAAAAGTGTTTTGCTCCAGTGTGGTATTCCTAATGAAAGTTTTATTGAAACAAAAATTCTAGAAGTCTAAAACAAAATTAAAGTTTAATTGAGCCATGTTAGTTAACATAAAGTTGAGTTTGATAAGTACACACGACCTTCCACACTGCTACAGTAGAAATATTGTTGTAGAAGGGTTTGATGGTGAACCAGATTGAGGTAAGGTTTTACCCTCCAGACTGAAGCACATGATGAGTACCACAGAGGAATCGGATCTACACACTTTTAATTATGGTCCCTTTAAAACTGAAGATCATTTACCGTCCTCTAAGGGTACAGGATAAATTGTACACTCATGTTTTAATTGAAGCTTTTGAATGAAAGTACACGAATGCTTAGATACTGTGTTACGATGTTACGGTAATGATAATTCGTCTTTAACGAAAATCTGCTGTGATTGAGAATAAGTGAATTGCTTGTTGGGATGGGATGAAATCTCGTAGATATATCCCAGTGAAGAACGGTTCATTACCTGGGAAACATTTTCAAATGATAAAAGTAATATCTTAAAAGGTTTATTTCTAGTAAATTATACTAATGATCTTTCCAGAGTAATTCTGAGTGTTTTTTGATGTAAATGAAAGAAACATTTGTCAAAACCAAAATTTGATGCTGTCACCTTCCTTCCCCCATAAGTGTTTATGACTTTATATTAGATGAATGGATGGGTCATACCAATGTTAGTCTTTTAGGGTCCAGGGGTGATTGGGATGGCTGCCAAGGTCAAGGTGAAGTACCTGAGGTAATTACAGGTATTAATAAAAGCACAGATTTCTGGCAGACACTGTGTTATATACTACATGTACTTAAAATACTACAGCTTAGGCCAGACTCAAGAAAATATTTGATTTTAGTGCTTCTATACTTACTTAAAATGAAATGAAGCAACAGAGATATTTAATAGACAAATTTCTGTTTTTGGTGTAGATGAGTTCACTCTTTCAAGTTAATACATTGTTGATAAAAACGTCTATTTGAGCTCTGCTGCTCTGTTACTGTTTAAAAAAAGTAAAATGTATTCTTAAATTTGCGACATTTTCATATTGGCAAACATCAATAACTGTCGAATGTCTGGTGGACCAATATTGTAGTTTCGTTATGATCAGCTTGACGGCGTTGAAATGATCAGCTTGAAAGCGTTGGAAGATCTACAGTACAGTCACAGAACTGGTATTGGTACCACTCTGTAGTACCAAGTTGCCTATACACGTAGGAGTGTTTTCTTGTAATTATTAAGTAAACCAGTATCCAATCAATGCCAGGATAAATATTTTTCTGCAAATAACGTAAGATCAGTTTGGCAACGTTGGTATAAACACATTAAGTATTGGGTTTAGTATGGTACTGATGTCGATTCTGTTAACAACTTCAGTCCTTCGTATGACAATCGAAACTGGAGAACACTTATATCAATTTCATAAAATCAGTCACGGAATCAATTTGGTATGTTTATGAAACAAAAATTTTTAAAATCATGCACATTTTGCTTGATTTCTTTGTGTTTATCTTTGAATAGAAATAGCCATTTACTATCATAACATCAAATCTACACTGGATCCAGTTCTAGTTTACATAGGAGCAAGGCTATTTGTGTGTTATTGATTTCTATATTAATCTTAACTTCACAAACATGTTTGAAATGTGGACAGGGTTCAATTGGGGGGGAGGGGGGCTTACAGATATATGATTATGAAAGGGGTTAATAGTCTATTGTAATGAGGTGAGGGTGGGGGGGGTGGGGTGGGGAGGAAAGGTCTTCGATGAGAGTGCAGATGAGGATGGGGGTTGGGATAGGGTAGATCAAATGCTGAGAAGTTGGGAGAAGATCTAAGATATGTTTTCTCATCCATTCTGGTGATACTTGAACTTGTTTATATTGAAAGTCTGTCTGATTTGGAAATTTTTCTTCACTTTTTTTTGTAAATCCCAGGAGATGATGGAGCAGTGACCCAGCTCACTGAAGTTGTTATCATAGTATTCTGAGTTTATCTTGGCAATTTTTGGCAAGATGATATCTAAGATTAGACCATGTTCCTCTGTAAAAATCTCTTCCACAGAGAGCTAAAGATTACTTCAAGACAAATATATATCCCATAAATCGTGGTAACTCCAAACGCACCACAGTGGCGGTAATCTAAACTACATGCACAGTTTGTGTGTGTACTTGCTTTTAGAACAGACTGGCTACACATATACCTCATTATTTTATTAGTCTTTAACCTAAAGCATTCAAGTTTTAAACAGAAGTAGTAGCAGAGTTTCCGTGATTTATTTAAGTGTATTTTGGTGGAAATGCGTGTTTAAATTTTAAACAGAAGTGCTGGAACCATTTTAGAGATGGGATGTAGTTGAAGCTCTTTGATAACGGAGCTGTAATTCACAAATCAGAGTTTAAAATACAAGAAGTGGAAAACGTCCATGGAGAATTAGAGCAGTTTAATTTTGTGAAATTTAAGAATTGGAAGTTTTCATCTGGAGCTTTATATCAGCATGTAGTTTCAGTGAAGTTCATTCTTAAAAATGAATGAGAATACATGAGTTTGTTGAGATTGGAAAGAACATCTGAGATCAAAGCCATATATTCCATTGGATCTATATACGTAAACTACATCAACAAGAATGTGCATGATACCCTCATATTGTAACTGAGCACTTATGACATGAAAAGTGATTGGATTTATGTTTGTGAATTTTGCTCTCAGCTGAACAGTCATTAATCATCTTTACAATGCAAGCTAACAGGTGGGATGTTAGAATATATTCACAACAAAATGTGTACTATTAGAAAAGATCAAATCAACTGCTATTTAAAATATAAATAAGATTGAGGCTTCATGGGATATTATGTCTACTCTCACAAGGTTTGAATCGATGTTCAGAGATATATGTTACAACATTGTAATCTCCTTCACAAAAGAGTTCCATTAGAGAAACCAGTGAAATAAATATCGTTGAATAAAAACATTTTGGACTCTGTTCAATGGTATTTATTCATATTGATTCATTTAAAAGTTGAACGAAAATGTTTGCAATAACAGTGCTGTGGTAATTATGGTTAATCATAATTATATTTAGGTTAGATAACTGTTATGCCTGTTTGAGAAACAAGATCTTTAATTTGCTTAGTGTGTTGGCTATAGTGAAGCTGCTTCATGATTAGATGCCATCTTGATGTGGCCATGGCTGTTAAACCAGTAACAAAGAAAGTAATTAGAATTTTATTTTTTGCAGGGAAAAGGGATCCCCGCCTTCCACCTATTGGGTGTCCCCTTCCAAGGCTCAGATCGAAATTGACATCCGTAACAGTGAAGAACTGGGAAAGAAGATGACGGAGGACATCGTAGATCCAGAAAGTCTCCTTAGAACAAAGGTCTGTTTGAAGTTTTTCTAGGTTAAAGTTCCCATCTGTGGCCTTTTGTCTGTTACTATAGTATACACAGCGTAACAGTTATTTTCATGCATGTTGTTGCAGGTCTCAATCTTTCAATAATCCCTAAATTTACAAGGTTAAGTCAAACAAGTCTTCAGAGAAATAGAAGAATTATGATTCACGCCACCATTTTTTATAATACACAAGGTGGTATACAGAAATTCTTGTCTTTTTTAGATACTTGTGATGTTAAAGTGATGTTCTATCTCCCTCCATGTCTGTACTTACTATGTGTTAGCAGAAAGCCTCAAATTTGACTTTTTTTTCACAGGAGGAGCTGGTGTCAAGTATAGTGAAAAAGATGGATAAACTCAAGGATGAAAAATCAGATCTACAAATTGAAATTAAAGAAGTGGATTCTGTGGGGAAAATGGTAACATTTACTATATTGTGGATATTTTTCCTTTTCCCCTTCTTTCTCTCAACCTCTTAATCTTCTAAAGAGACAGTTTGTTCTTCTAACAAGGTGCGGAGATTGGGCTTATTACTGAACCCCAAGGGGCAGATTCATTACTTCTAACTCAAATTCAGAGGGAGGTCTTATTACTGAACCCCAAGGGGCAGACTCATTACTTCTAACTCAAATTCAGAGGGAGGTCTTATTACTGAACCCCAAGGGGCAGACTCATTTCTTTTAACTGAAATTCAGAGGAAGGTCTTATTACAGTACAACGAAATAGCAACAAACTTTGAAGTTTCTTGTTCCTTATTGTCGATGTATTTGTTGTCATTTTCCTCGTTTGATTTCTGATTGACATCACTTCCTGTTTAGGTATCTGAGACGGTGGAACAGAAATGTAAGAGTCAGAAGGAGAAGGATAAGTTCCAGTCATTCTTACGAGAGATGGACCACATCATCCGCCTCCTCCTGAAAGTGTCTGGTCTCCTCGCACGTGCTGAAAATGCATTGCAGAGTCTACCTGAGGACTGTGATGTCCATCAAAAGGTACGGGCAAGCATCACTGGACTTATTGTAACAGATTATAAATAACCTCTTGATGTTATAAAATTTATGATGTAAATCATTCTCTGATTGATTCTCTGGAAATTTAAGCTGAAATTGAAATTTTGCATTTTGTTTACAGGACATAGCAACCCAGAAGCGAGATAGATACAAGGCGCAGCACGAAGAGGCACAGAAACTTAAACAGGATATCGACCAACGGAGTACGCAGATTTTTGGAATACTGCGTGAATCGCTCAGCGATCAGGAGCTGGAAGATTATCAATACTACATCAAAATGAAATCAAGACTGACTGTTGAGCACCAGAACCTCGAGGACAAGATCACACTGGGACAGGAACAAATTCAGGCATTGCGCCGGAGTATTCCTGACAAACGACACTGAATGGTGGGTTATTGAGAGAATCTGTCACAAACAGTGCCATGTCTGCTGTTTACTGGGAGCATCCTTGACCAATGACAAAGTGTGCGGTATTACTTCCAAGCACTTGTTACCTTGGTATTATGCGACGGAGAATCCCAGACTAAAGACTCAACGTGGGAGTGTGACATAATTAATATACCGAAGCATCCCTGACAAAGAACATGGAGTCAACGCAAGGATATTGTGATAACAAATGTGTTCAGATAAATTTTATTTTTCTTTCGGATTCATGGAATTGTGCTTGTCAACACATTTGTGTAAGCATGAGGTGAGTTTGAGATTGTGCTGCCAAAATGATATTGTACACGAGTGATATTGTCACGTATGAGAGGAAAGATATTGAGGAATGTTTTTATTTTTTCGTCATTCCTCATTGCTTGCATATTCCATGTTTTATTCAGTTTATCAATATACCAGAATGCATCTTCTGTACTCGGACAGAAAGTTGTAAAACATTTCTGTTACCATGGTAACAAGTTTAGAAGTTTGCTTCATCTTCCATTTGCAATACAATATATCAGTCATCAAAAATCAAATTTTTGTCATCTTATTTCATTTTAATAGTTTGCATTTTTCCCTTTTTTGTTTTTGTTTTTTTTGTTTTGTTTTTACAGTTTAACTTATTAAAGACAAATTTTAAAATGGAAGACTGGATCTCGCACTGACAGGAGAAACAAAAATTAAGCTTCATATTTATTTATTTTGTAAATTCTGTTCCAACCCCTAATTATGGCAGATTTGATTCTGTGAACAGCTTATAATGTAGACGTTAGTGTTGTTTCATTTTTAATGGTGTCTCAACACTTTTTATCTGCAGTACCTGTTGAAGTATTAATTTTGATTTTTTTGTTATACAGGCTAAAACTGCCTGAAATCCTTGCTATTATTGTTGATGTTGTTATAAGCAGTGTGTAAATGAACCCCTCCACGACTAGAGATGATCAAACTTATGTGTCTGGATGTGTGTGTATCAGAAAACTTGTTGAAATAGTTATATTCATATTCCAGACATGTTGTCTTATAGTTATAAATATGGTCTAAGGGAGATAACTCTTTCCTAAGCTTGTAGACATTGTACATTATTTCACTCCCATAGTGTCTTTTGTGTAAAATGTGAATATAACAAAAATAACGGTGCAAAAGTCATAAAAAATTTCATTTTAGTTGATCAGTTTATCCATACGTAGGTTTTACTGTCTTATTTTATGATAATTTATTTGCAGTTATGCAATTTGTTTGTGTATTATTTTTCGTATGTATTAATATCAGAATGTATTATTTGTTTACTGTTGAGGAGGAAAATATTTAATTTAATCAAGCTGTATATTTGTGTCAGGATCAGAATGCTTGATCTTGGAAAAGAGAAAATTAAGCTGAAAAGTAATATGTTTAATATCAGAAAAATGATAATAAACATAAATTTATATATATATGTTCTTCATCTTTCTATAATGCAAGTTATTCACAATGTTTACTGCCAAATACTGGGGATAGTATGGTGTCTACCCTTTAGTTTTTAAATGAACTGGCTTATTCAGTCAGATCAGATGAATACACATTGCTCCATCAATAAAGATGGCTACAAATTATTTTCTTGAAAATAATAACCAGAACTCAATCATTTTAAGATTGTGATATGTTTCTTTGGATCCTCAGCATTAATTAATTAAATTAGCCTATACATTTGTGCTTATGAGCTATACACAAAAAACCATAAATCATCCGTGTGCTTTCCTCCTGTACCTTTGATGAAATAAACATTTGTTAAGCAAAAAATTCCAGATTAAGAAAAAGGCAAAAAAAAAAAAAAAAACCCAACAATTTTTCAAATTTGTTGAATAGTTTCATCTATCAGACTTATTAAAAAATAAGTTTTTCTATTGTTGAATTATTTTAGGAATGTAATTGTTATATTTTTAAATTGTTGTCACACATAATTATCATTTGCTTTTTACCTGGTAATGTTAACATTTTAAAAAAAAGACTAATTCAGTATGGAATATATTGTTGACCTGATGCAAAATTGATAAATTCCAAGTTTGCACAATTGTAATAAAGTTACTCTAACTTGAATGAAATGTCATGTGGCATGTCAGAATTTAGAAACTAAATTTTTCAGCTTTGGGAAGTAAAAATATTTGAAAGTATGAAAATATGAATTCATTTAAAAAAAAAGGAATTATCGGTCATTGTCAGATTTTAACAAAGTATCATCAACCAAGGAAATCAATTATAAAAGATATTTTAGTTATGAACCATGCATCTCTCCAGTCCAAAAATTATTCAAGTATTCTACAATATTTGTAACGTTGATTGTACAGATAGAAGGCATTCCACCCACCCTACAACTTTTCCAAAGGAAAATTAATCATACCACACATTATTCTTTGTTTGTGTTTCGAAGGTCATGTGACCAGTTTGAACCATGTGATCTGTGTTTAGTCACATGACCCTGTATGACAGTCATGTGACATGTAGTTTATAGGAATCCATGTAACAAATACATTACAAATGTGGATTTTACATCAGTAATATTATAAATATATACACATTATGAAAAACTTCCAAGGGAAGATCATTAAAAAGGTGTGTGAACTAGAGAACAGTGTTTGTTTTTACTTTATAGTGTTGGTAAAGAGCACCGTGAAAATATCTTGATCTGGACCAATCCCTTTATTTGTTTATTTACACAGTACATTATTCACTCATTATTTGTAAGGGTAAAACAATATACATATGTTCCAACAAAAATATTCATATTTATGAAAACTTCCTCCCTAAGGATCTATCTACACTCTGTAAGTTAAATCTGTAATTCAAAGATTGTTGAGGGTTCAGAGTTCTGTTGTATTTATATCGTATTTTTAAAACATCGTAGTAGAAGTGAACTCAACATCAACCAGCTTCAAAAGGTTAAGTAGGTGGAATACTTTTATTCTAGTCGACCGGTTTCGCCAGTTACGGCTCGTCAGGGCAAAGATACAACAATTTTCATCCCCTAAGGTACCCTAAATGTGGTGCCCTCGTGCACGTGACTTTATTGTCATAAAGTTCGATAACTCACTGAGTTGTCCTTCTTTATAAAGACGGTGGTATCTAAAAAATTTACTTGGACATCACTACTCTCTGCGGTTAATTTTATGGTCGCGTGGAATGAGTTCATTGAATCCAAAAAGGAGGTAAGATCATCTCGAGAATGGGTCCAAATGAAAAATACATCATCAATATACCTCCATCAAGCTAGAGGAATTTTAGGACATGTTGACAAGAACCTTCTCTCTCAAAGTAAGGTACAATGGTAGGTGGAATGTTAACCTTTTCTTCAGCGAGGTCGTCAGTCCTTGGCCGCTGATTAGCCTGTTCTATGTTCACGTTGTTACCACAAGTTCCTTCGGGTATTATGAAGTGGTTGACATAATGTTTGGTAAATGAGCTGGCGGTCCAACGGCGGACGCTGAAAACGCTCGTCCGGCGGATTCAAAAGATGCAGGGGCTTATGAATCAAAGTCATTGGTATCATCACCAGATAATGATACCCCAATATGAAAATTAGGGTTTTACTTGTTTATCACAGAGAGGGAAATACGGTTTATGAATACAGTAGATTCGGAGGATAAATTAGTTTTAACTGTATGATGGACGTATTCATGCAGGATGTGAGTATTACTGATACAAGGGAGATAAGTCATCCCAAACTGTCTACATGGTACGGGAGAGCCTCGAGGAAATGAACATGTCAACCAACCAATGCCCTGTTTTAAAAAAGTATCTATGCTTTTAATTTTTACCTCAATTTTGATAAATTTATTAGAAGTGTACCATATCTCCTTCTTAGCTGTTCTCATAGTTGTTTAGCTTTCTAGTGAGATTACGATGTATGAGACTTGGGGACAAGGATGTTATATAGAATGTACCAGACCAAAATATCTGTCTATCCATCATTTCAACTGTTCTCTTCAATTTCCTCTACAATGGCCTTTCTCTGCCTAAAGTATATAATTATGCATGAGTGACAATGCGATGGACCTGACCTCAATATAGACAGTAGAACATTGGTCCTGCTGCACATACACATTCCAGTATGTCGCGATATTTCAAAATATTTTTGTTCTATTGTTTATACTCAGGTTCGGTCCTATGCACATTGATGTCTAGCAGACCTGGGTACATAGACGTTTAGATATAACATATCTGGGTACACAGACGTTTAGATATAACAGATCTGGGTACATAGACGTTTAGATATAACAGATCTTGGTACAAAGACGTTTAGATATAACAGATCTGGGTACATAGACGTTTAGATATAACAAATCTCGGTACATAGACGTTTAGATATAACAGAGATTTGGGTACATAGACGTTTAGATATAACAGATCTGGGTACACAGACGTTTAGATATAACAGACTTAGGTACATAGACGTTTAGATATAACAGATCTGGGTACACAGACGTTTAGATATAACAGATCTGGGTACATAGACGTTTAGATATAACAGATCTGGGTACAAAGACGTTTAGATATAACAAATCTGGGTACAAAGACATTTTTTATTCATATACTTGTCAAATCTCAGGGAGCTACAAGAAATGTTCAAAGTGGTTCGTGGGCAAAATTCTGTTGTTCTTGGTATAGTTCCCATTGCTCTGTCATATCAAGCCTTTTTTGAAAATATTGGAAATATTGATTGTCGAGAAATGACAACAGTATATGACAGAAGGATAGCTCTCCAACAAATACAATCGACAAAACATGTTTGATTTTCAGTAACATATATCCATTCTACAATGAATTGAAGTAAGGAAATATTTTACTCCCTCCCATACCACGCCAGACATTTCCTGAGCTTTTGTAAGTTTGCAAGTAAAGGCCAAACTAATTTTAAGTTGTTTCTAGTGGACGGATGTACTTTCAAATGAAGGGTTTTGTGGATTTACCGTATTGTGTTTCCATATACATATAATCAAATCACTACAGTCAATGTGTGTTCAGTTTAATATTGTCTTAACCTCAGCATATGCCGAAGGATCATGTCTTGAGCTACGAGGGAAAACACCACTAACATTTACTTACTCTACATCACTTATATTTCGCGTAGGATTTTTTTCGCGTTAATACGCGAGGAGTATCAATCGCGAATTCAAATCCCTCGCGATTATTTGTCCTGTTACCGATATCGGAGCCTTGAAGAGTCCTGTTCTCTACTAGCTAATCATTCGCGAATGTAAAGTCATGTCTAGATCAGCGTTCGCGAAATCATGCATTCGCGAATGTCTGAACAGGTATGTTCGCGAAATAAAGTATTCGCGAAATCTAACTGATTTATATTAGTCAAAACCTTAAAAAATGAGATATTATAAAACCATCAGCCGCCAATGTTAAAGGAGTTTATTTATGGTATTGGGTAGTTAAACTGTAAGCTTCCATCACCGTTATATCTATCTAAACAGTTGTGATAACCTGGCTGACTACAAGACATGAACGTATCTGTTGCGTATTCCGCCCAACCAGTTTTCTTCCCTGTTGCCATCCAATGCTCTGAATGAGCATATACTCGGAATCCATATCTGTTCCGAACGTATAAACCTGGATTCCTGGGAGCGTTTACCCAGTATCCGTTTAATAGAACTTTGGTAGGCTTTATTCCGTTTTTAGTCAACTGTTTCGAATCCGTATCTCGTTGCCCATACAATTCTACGTGCCAATGCTTACTGGAAATGACTATTTTACCACCCGTTTGATCTCCATCGTCCGTCCACTTGGGCCTCTCGGCAATATTCAATGCAAATCCTTTCATTTTGAAAAGACCTGACAAAAACGTCAATGCTGAAAAATTTGAGGAAAGAAATGTAATGTCTGCGTCACGTTCCCATGGTAACGTTTTATCCAGTTTTACTGCCCCCAATAGCGTGCCCTCCTGTAGTTCACAAAGGGCACCGACCTTGCGACATGATTCCATGATGTAATTCACCAAGTTGGCAAGCTCTTCCAAACAACATGGTGAAACGGAAAAACCTTTCCAAAATAAACATTTATAATCAATAGGACAATCAATGCTTAATTCTTGTCCTGTAGATAGAATTATTCGTCGCAAGTTCCATTTTCTGGCGAACATTTTCCAGTCATTTTTCTGAACGTTTGTTATTTTGTCCGCAACATAAAACATTGCGTCCGGGCAGACATAAGACGTGGAATAGTGGTCTTGCTGAAGTCTTAGAAAGAAATCCTCCATCAACCCCGCTCCAATTATATACTCGTCAAACCGTACCTTTTTTAAAAGTTCAGTGCCGGCGAGAAATGGACCTTCTATAAAATCACATTGAATACATTCACGTACGGATATCGGGTAGCCATCTTGTAACACAAGGGTATAATTCTGATAAACCATTTGATGGCATCCTTTTCTCCAATGACCATTTTCATCGCGTGCTGCGCCCCCTACAACCGACCCGTTTAGAACTTCAATCTCTCTGACCAGTCTTTCTAGATAAGAATCATGGTTCAGTATCTGCAAATCACGTGCAATTAGCGTGTATTTCGTACTAACAAGTGAACTGAATTTGTTCAGCATTGCACCTTGTGACATTTCATGACCAAATCGTACAATGTTGATATTTCCCATTTGTCTGAAATCCGATGGTCCAGTGGAGCCGGACATGGCGATTATAACTGATAATCTGTTATTGTATAATTGGATGGTCTTCAGTAATCTTTCCATGTTAACTTTAGTAAGATGTGATTCATCAATCATTATTATAACACTGACCACTTTTTCAATAGGAACTTTGTTGGAACAATTCCGGAATTCAAACCCCGTATGAAATAAAGGATACCCGTATGAAGTTCCATGGTAAATCTCGGGACAAGTACTGTTTGAATGTCGGACACGTAGTGGAACATCTATATCAAACTCCTTCAAAACGTCTTTGAACAAATTTAGTGCTTTTACCATCGCCCCCTTTGCTTTAGTCGAACGTATGTACATGTTTGCATCCAATAGCGATTGAGCAGAAAGCTGTAGCAAATTCCTAATGTGTTTTCCTCTCGTTATGATGTCGTTAGCGCCTTTCAAGGTATCCCTTGGGGTGGGAAACTTACTTTGTTGAGTAGATATCACTGTGGTACCCCTTTCTCTGATATCTATAAGTCTGTAAGTAATCAGGACAACTAGCACACAGCCCAGAATTGGTCGTATTAGGCCAGGACGTATATAAATCCGTTTCATACTTCAATTTGTCCAATCTACCTGTAATAAAAAAAGGCTATTTAAAAAAAACAGACAACAAATTCTGTTCAGAGAGACCTAAATAATGCCACCGATATAAAGGGAAGACCCTATATAGACTTAAATTATCGGGGTTGATGTTCGAAACGGAAATAACCGAATCGTCTACTTTGATAGATGTTGTGTATAATCTTCATAATCACAAATATTCTATATTGGACAACGATAGGCGATTAGATTATTTCCGTTACCGATATCCATAGCCTCATTATCAATAGATCACGTGATAAAATGTTAATTAGGCTATCGGTAACACAGGTCTACATGTTTCATTTTTCGTTGTGGCTTAGCGGGGGCGACAACGCAACTGATTGT